GGCCCTATAAAGGAGAAGAGGGAGGAAGATGGAAGTAACCAGAGAGTGAGAAAGGCTGGACTGGTTGTTGCTGGCTTTGACTTTGGAGAAAAGGGGCTTTTAGACAAGGAGTGCAGAAGTGGCTAAACGCTGAAAGATGCACGGAGAAGCTTCTCCAGGGCTTTCGGAAGGGAAGATGCTCCCCTTGCATCTCCAGGTCACTCCACACCTGAGTCCTGCTTCAGTCCTCTGACCTCTGGAACTGACAAGAAACTCATAAGCTTCTACTTTTTAAGCCGTAAAAGAGGAATTGAGTATTAAAATATCGTTTTAGCAGATATGATTATATCCGTGTGAAAAACTGGAAGGTGGGAGTCCACAGATAAAATAAGAAAACTTCTTGTGAAGGAGCTATGTGCCTTAAAACAAGTTGGTGTTTATCTTCAGGAGTTTTTTTGTTTTGTTTTGTTTTGTTTTTCTATCTGTTTGGAATATTTTCCATCTCTTCATACAGCATGAGCAACTTTATTTCCATTAAAAATGTTTGCAACACTTTTAATTAATTTGAGAGGATGTAATTGCTGGAACAATTCAGTGGAATAATTAAAGCAATCTTAATCCATCAGCATTTGCTCTTTGGCAAAGGAACCAGGGAGAAAGAAAAATAATTTGTATAGTTTTTCTTTTGTAAATTTGGGTTCCTGTCAATCTGAAATGCAAGGAGGGATTGTAAATCAGCAATGATAAGGCTGTGTGTCTCACTGAAGCTTCACTCTCGCACATGGGCTCCGTAGGGGAAGCAGACTCGTAGAAGGGATACTGGGAATTGTCTGGCGACTTCACTGAAAGTGGGCTCGACTTTTGCTCTTCTGTTGTTAACCCAGGGCCTAAATACAGTTTCAGCTGTCAGGGACAGCAGGGAGCTTTCCTGAAAATTCCGTGTAAGGGAGAATGGTGGCACTTCTCGCGACATCTCTTGCTTGCTCAGTGTACTGCTTGTGCTGGACCCAGGTCAGCTGAAACAGCAGCAGACTCGGGTCATACTTCCTTGGTTTGGGCTTTGGTGTGAGGATTTATAAAGCAGTGTATGGTGAGGGGGTCTGTCCTCAGAGAAGACTAACTGCAGGTGTAGAATTCCTTATGCAAATAGGCTTTAAACCTGCAGGCAGTGTTTGTTTTGGATTTTTTTTTTTTTATATTTTGGAATGTTTGTTCATAATGAGATGTCTTGGGGATGAGATCTAACTCAACACAAAATTCATACAGCCTGAAGGTAATTTTATATATTTTTGGTGTGCCTGCATTTTGATGGCAATCCCTCACAGAGGGTCAGGTGTGGAATTTTCTAGTTGTAGTATTATGTTGGCACACAAAAGCCCTCAGATTTTGGCTCATTTTAGGTTTCAAATCTTTAAACTTCAAATTAGGGCTGCTCAACCTGTAATGCTAAGCACAAATTTAGTAAGCAGTGTTTAAAGGGAAATGGAGTCAAGGAAATTTCCCAGGGAATCTTCATTAATGAGATGCAAACAATGGGCCTGGCCCTTCTCCCAGACCAAAGTCATTCAACCTAGGTCACTACAATGATCCTTCACTCAAACTGGAAGCCTGTTTCTCCTTCCCATTATCTCACACAAAACATTGCTATGGACATAAGATTAATTATATTATCATGATACTGGAAGAAACTGGAAGAAACAACAAATTAAGACAATGATAGCTAATATTTATACAGCAACTATTCTGTCATGCTTTGGGTACTATTATTACAGCTATCCTATAAGCAGTAGTAAGATTTAGAAATGCCAACTACTTTGTGAGCAGTCACACAGCTGGTATGTGGAGTGGCTGATCCAGAGCCTGTGGGCTTTACCCCAATATATATACTTCTCCTAAAGATGGGGCTGGCTGGCTGATTGCTTCAGATCACCCATGTCTGTTCCCCTTTATGCTTCAAGAGTACTTTCAAGAGTACTTTCTCAAACTGTCAGTTCCACCTGTTCTATCACCTGGATTCAACTCCCAAAGTTTACTTTGTATAACCAATTTTTTAAAGACTTATTTGTTTGAAAGATAAAGCCACAGAGAGAGGTAGAGACACACAGAGAGGTCTTCTATCCCCTGTCATTCCCCAAGTAGCTGCAAGGCCAGAGCTGAGCCAATCCAAAGTCAGGAACCAGGAGCTTCTTCTGGGTCTCCCACGTGGGTGCCAGGGCCGAGGGACTTGGTCCATCTTCCACTGCTTTCTCAGGCACATTAACAGGGAGCTGGAAGTGGAACATCCAGGACTCAAAGAAGCACTCATATGGGATGTCTGTGCTGCAGGCTGGGCTTTAACCTGCTGTTCCTACAGCGCCGGCTCCATGTAACCAAACTTTAAGGAGGCCCCTCAGACTTTTTCTAGGTCCATCTGTGCACTTCCTTGTAAAAAAAAAAAAAAAAAAAAAAAAAAAAAAAAAAAAAACCACACACACAGAATCCTGGTAAGTCAATTTGTCTTAAAAAAAAAAAAAAAAAAGCCCTGAACCCACCCTAAATACCTTCTTATCTGATCAACCTAATATAATTTCCTCTTAAAATTAATTTTTGTAGATACTCATGTTATTTGAAAGCAGAGAGACAGACCTGACATCTGTTCGTTCACTCCCCAAATGAACCTAAGAGCTAGGTTGGGCCGGGCCTAAGCTAGGAGCCAGGAACTCAATGAGGATCTCCCACGTGGTGGGCAGAAACCCAAGTACCTGCTTTCTCCCAGGATCTGCATTAGCACGAAGCTATAATTAGCCATAATCCTTCTTAGCCCTGATGCATTTTTCTTAGTAAGTTTCTATCCACTGATAACAGCTCCCCATCCTTAGCTATAAATTCCCACTTAACCACAATGTTAGGCTTCAACGCACATTGATCTCTCACTGCAAAATCCTGTTTCAGTGGCTCCTATATCTATCTGCTCTCCATAAAGCCTCCTTGTTGTGCTTTATCAACAGTTACTGAGTTTTTCCTGGACATTCAGAATAGTAAGTTCTTACTAATCTGTTCCTTTAGCTCAAAATAGGCTATACACTATCCTGCATAGCTTTTTGCACTCAGCATGCAGAGAACTCATGCAGTCACTCTCCCCCATAACCAAATACATTGTAATAATAAATACGACAGCATATAAAACACATAGAATGTCTTATTTTATCATCCCTCTCCCCATCCCCACCAATTCCTTGAGACTGGTACCATTCTTACCCTCATTTTTAGCAAATAGAATCTGAGGTATCTGGAGATTAAACATTTCAAATTGCAAACAAGTGGGTTCCTTTTAAATGGATTTTATAAAGTGGGAATGAATTCTCTATAAGATTAGTCTCCTTGTGCTACTATTTCTCTTTTTTTCTTTTTTTTTTCTTTTTTTTTTTTTTTTTTTTTTTTTGACAGGCAGAATGGCCAGTGAGAGAGAGAGACAGAGAGAAAGGTCTTCCTTTTGCCATTAGTTCACCCTCCAATGGCCGCCGCGGCCGGCGCATCGCGCTGATCCGAAGGCAGGAGCCATGTGCTTCTCCTGGTCTCCCATGGGGTGCAGGACCCAAGCACTTGGGCCATCCTCCACTGCACTCCCAGGCCATAGCAGAGAGCTGGCCTGGAAGAGGAGCAACTGGGACAGAATCCGGCACTCCGACCGGGACTAGAACCCTGTGTGCCAGCGCTGCAAGGCGGAGGATTAACCTATTGAGCCACGGCGCCGGCCGCTACTATTTCTCTTCATATCCATCTAGATTCTGTTCATTTTTTTTTAATTTATTTTTTTGACAGGCAGAGTTAGACAGCAAGAGAGAGACAGAGAGAAAGGTCTTCCTTCTGTTGGTTCACTCCCCTAATGGTCACCATGGCCAGCGCTGTGCGGATCCAAAGCCAGGAGCCGGGTGCTTTCTCCTGGTCTCCCATGCTGGTGCAGAGACCTAAGCACCGGGGCCATCCTCTGCCACCTTCCCGGGCCACAGCAGAGAGCTGGACTGGAAGAGGAACAACCGGGACAGAATCTGGCGCCCAGAGCAGAACTAGAACCTAGGGTGCTGGCATTGCAGGCAGAGGATTAGCCAAGTGAGCCACGGTGCTGGCCTCTGTTCATATTTTCAATATGGTCAAGTGATGTTTCATTGAATATTTCTAGAAGTTTCCATAACTTTATAATATTTAATAGTTTCTTTTCCTTTTCACTTTATGATGAGGTTTTTAAAGCCAGAAATGCACCAATATGCCCCAGGGAGTTTCCACATCATTTACCCAGGTCATCCCCTTTGCTTCCTCACCAGTTCAGTGTTGACTATGTTTTATGTTCATCACCATAAAGGATTGTAAAATCCTGGTTGGCCACACTGAAAAAAGTTTCATGCTGTATAAGAACTCACATTTCCATAATAAAAATTAGCAAACATTTTTCCAATGCAGTTGGCTGCCATTGTAGACCAAGCCCTATCCTGGGCGATTGATTCACACAAAACAGCTGAAACCACTTCATCTACAAGTTAATGGATAAAACTAGCATGTAGAAGGCAATCCTTAGACAAATCTCCCAAGAACACTAAAAAGATTTGTTGATTTTGTTTGTGTTCAGGATTAGGGGCTTGGGGCAGAACCTAGAAATAGAAATTAACTCTAACCTTACAAACATAGAAGTCTGCAGTAAAATTGTGTGATCCTCCGGCTCCCTGTAAAGGAAGTTCACTCATAGTAAATTTAAGGTCTTTTTATTTCCATGACTCTTACTCATCCCAACATTCCAGTGAGAAATGGCTTATTTCTTCCAGTGTGTGTTCTTCACTGTGTTGATCTGGGGTTTGGCTCTCACCCTCAGAGCCATCCTCAATAAAGAGGTTGCTGCATTTTGTCCCTCCCCTACTGTGCCATTTTTCTAGATCAGAGGCACAATCCTTCTCTTTCAAGAGTTTCTGTCTGCTCTCCTCCTCCACATCGCTCCCCCACCGGTTTCACCTCCTGATTTTAAAATAACTAGCCTTAAAATACTTTTACAGGAGATGGCTGATCAGAGGCTCTTGTCTTCGCCCAAGAAGGAATTTAGACATGAGACAGAAGTGATAAGTGGAGTAGCAAACTTTAATGAAGACAAACACACCTGATAGACCAAGCAGACATCTCGGAAGAGCTGAGCACCCAATCTGCACTCAGACTAACGATGAAGGTAGTACACCTTACAGACTGGGCAACTCAGTAAAAGACAGTCTGTATTCAGGATGGAGTTTTCATGGCTGTGGGTATGGGCCCTCCATTTCTCTTCCTCTGTCCCACTTCTAGGATACTGCTGGAGGGAGGGATTTCTGGTGGTGGAATCCCTGAAATTCCCCCCAGGACTTTACCAGCACAGTGTTATTGGACCTAAGAGCCCCCTTGATGGCAGGCATCCTGACATAGTAGGTAAAGCCACTGCAATGATGGCATCCTGAAGTAGGCAGGCATATAGGCTAAAAGTGATTAGATTTGTGAGCTGGAAGACTACACCTTTGCCATGCCCCTGTGTGACCTTACACCCTACTAGATACCCCCACCATGCCCCCATGTGACATCAGGCTCTACCTGACCATACCTGAGTGCCCACCTGCCCACAAGCCACTCCCCTGTGGAAAATATATAAAAGGCAGGGAATGTTGCAAGAGGTACTCTCTGCCTCTGCTTTGCTGCCAGTGATAAGCAATGGATAGCGGCTCAAGGCACTTGCTGCACGTGGCTTTTGGCCTGCTCACTGCTTGGTATGGACGTTACCCTAGTTTCCAGACTTTCCCCTCTCTGCAACCTGAACTAAAACCTTCACTTTCCTAGATACCTCTCGCACTAAATAAAAGCTTAAAACGTACCATGCTGCCTCGTTTATCTGTGCCGGTATTTAGAATTCTTCTAAATATTAGGCAAGAACCCTCTTGGGCTTAGTAAGGGGGTTTATTAGTAAGCATATGGTGAAATCATATGGCACTCCAAATTCCAATAGGACATGTGGCATCCCAGATAGCACTTCTTGGGAATATTAAGGGCCACATTTTTGTATAAATTTTAGGGGGTCATGTCTGATTTCAATCCCATACAGGCACTGTTTAGAGTCCAAGCTGATCCACTACCCATCCCGTTTCCTGCTGATGCACCTGGGAAAGCAACTGTGCTTGTGCCCCTGTACCCGTGTGGGAGAGTCAGATGAAGCTCCTGGCTTTGGCCCAGCCCAGACATTGTGGCCATTTTGGAGAGTAAATCAGCAGATGGAAGATCTCTCTCCCTGCCTCTCCCTCTCTCTCTCACTGAAACTGACTTTCAAATAAAAAAAATCTTAAAGCCCTCTTGGAGAAAAGCTAGGGAAATTCCCCTAAGCTGCCCCCAAGACAGGGCTGGAACCCACCTAATAAGCTTATACTTTTGATGTGTACTTGTTGACTGGCTTTCAAGGCTTGCTTCTACATTTTTCCTCCTCCTACTCCATAAAAATGCCCACTTTATTCCAAAATTTCTATTTCATTCAGCCCTCTCTTATACACGTAAGCTAATGGGTATCTGAAATCATTGTTTCTGGGTTTTCCCATTATTTGCATTTGTACTGCCTTTGTTGTGGGGGAAGAGGTTTAATTTTTATACCAGGTCTTGCCTTATACCTAGGGATACTTACTAAGTACAGGAAACGTATCAGGTGCACAAAGTGAAAGTTTTATGTAAAAGGTGAGAAAGTGACTACACATATACATACATGTACCCTCCACCCATCCCCAGAGATACCCATTATGGGTGGGCAGTGGGACCAGGAGGATAAGGGGGTGGGAGAGGTGGAACAGAACATCCCAGCACCTCCTCCAGTCGTGGTCTCTGGAGGAAGAGAGCACCTCCCAGAACCTCCTTTTTATGAAGTGGTATGGGTTGCCTCTACAGACATGGCCGGTTCCTGGGACCTCCATAAAATTCCACATGGAATATTATGTACATACTTACTTGGCACCTTTCCCCCAGGTCCTGGGTGAAACAGGGGCTTCCTGGTAAAGGAGGCATTTTTTTTTAGTAAACCATTTATTTCTGTAAACTGTTGAGTGCAGAGATGATCTTCACAACCCCAATACCGTCCAGGTTTCTTCCTCAGAATGAGCTGAGCAAGGGAAAAAAGGAAAGGGCTGCAGAACACGTGCTCCTGAGGAACCACACCTCTCTCTCCTTTCTTTAAAAACAAAGCAAAGCCATCCTTTGGAATTTGGGGTACAGACCCCGGATTAAAACTCCAGATTTTCTGTTCACTGTAGAGGCCTGGGCTGCCATTGCACAGACAGCAAGTAGGGCTGGCCTTTCTGTGTGCACACGTCCAACCTTCCAGTAAGCATGGAACCGGCTCCCAGTTCCACTGGGATTCCCACATCTGACTTGAAGCCTCTCTTCCCAGTGGCCTGGAGCTCAAGGGGACATTTTGATTGACAAGTAGGAGGATAGAATTACACATGGAGTGGGGGCTGGTGTCTTGCTGGTACCTTCAGCTCCCCTACCCTAGCCCCTATCCCTTCCTACATTAGACTGGGTATTAGATCTCTTACCATATTCCCAGGTGTATACTTTGTACCTTCTCTCTCCATATCAATGCGCTATAGTCATAACAATTTTTAATTAGCATTTACATTTCTATGATTACACAAATTAACAATTTGATAGTATTTTTCTATTAATTCATTTTAATTCATTTGATAAATATTTACTAGGCACTTCCACTTTTTTTATATAACCATGCATGTAAGTACTAGAGAACTAACAGTGAAAAAGTTAAGAAAAAAAAAACCATACTTATGGGGCTTATGCTTTTTTTTATGAGTCAAGTGCTTAAGGAAAAATAATCTGAAACAACCTTGTATTTTATTTTTCATACTTAACAAATCTCTGACATCAGCAAGTATGGAGTCTGTTCAGAACTCAGTATCTTCTGTAGATTTGGGGTAAAATCTATTAAGTTAAAATCAGGAGTGAAAATAACTTTGAGCAGGACAAGGACTACAAATCACAATTTTCAGTTTATTAGAGAAGACTAGCTTAGAGATCATGCTTTTAAGTAGGATGGTTAGAAAAGGATATTTTTTCTATGTTATTCATTTCTTTTCCAGGATTTCTGTCTTAAGATTAATTTTAAAGGAGGATTATTCAATTCACATATTGCTTGTTTTCCATTTAATTCCTTTTTGGTAGAACGAACTTTGGGTTTCTATCATTTGTCTTAATGACTTTTCTTTGTCTGGTAACACATGTATTTATATTTTAAAATGGGACCCTAAAAACCCAGTGTTCTTGGTTCATATTCTGGCATTTCTGGCCGAGGAGTTGTACACCCCAGATCAGAGCCTTTGTGGTTCAGTTTGTTTGCATGGACAATGCCCAGCCTCCTGCACTAATGGTGCAGGGTGCTCTCTGGTTAATGACTGAGGGAGGCAAGAGACAAAATGGAGATTTAAGTTCTGCCAGTCTGTCTCAGAGGACTTGTTAGTCAAAAATCACTGCTCTTGAGCTAAGCAGTATGTACATCATGGAAAAATACTTAATTTTATGACTGCCCTAAGGTGGAATACCACCTTATTTCTCAGAACTATTCTATATCACAGACTGGGTTTGTGTTTTGTTTTTTTTTTTTTTTTTTCTGAGAATGTGCTGTACTTTCTTACAACTTTTAATCATTTTGGTCTATGTGGGATAAGGTATTGATCCTAAGAGGTATCACTATAAAGATGAATGAAGCAAGATCTCTCCTTTTCAGAAATCAGTGTTGTCAGACGCTAGCTGGGCCTTTGATGGATTCCCTAATGTAGACTTAATGGAATTGCAGAGGCAGGATTCAGAGATTTATCAGATTATCCTATGTTTCACATTTTAGCCACTTTCCCTTCCTGAGATCCTACACTCTCATGTTGTTCCCATTAGAGTAGACATTTGACATGACTCTCCAGGCCAATTTCACACCTCATGTTCTATAGTATCATGTTGTACACATGAGACCCAGAATTAAACCTATTCTCATTGTTGTATAGCATATACTAACAGTATCCATATATTATTCCTACTCCTTTCAGTAAAACACAATGAAACTTGCCTTCCATTATAAACTGTTGCCACTACAGTCCAGCTCACAGACTTCCCATCCATGTCTTGATAGACTGAAGAACACTTACAGTCCTGTTAATGAGAAATAGTTCCTTAAGTTCCCTAGAGAAAGTGACATGTGCATTTAAATTATAATTCTGAACACCATAATGAGCTTTTCACTGTCTTGTTAGCATTAGTTTAAATAGTGGTTAAATGGAAGCATTTTATGAATTGCATGCTATTTGAGTGTCGGGTGTAAACAAGTGGGATTCTTGACCTTTAGCTGGTAGGAATTTTATCTCCTTTTGTTTTCCCAAAACCAATCTGTGCAGTGAAGCAGCACTATCTTTGTGTGATGGCAAACTGGTTATCTTCCTGTGGTATCACCAATCAATTCTATAATCTCTATACATGAGAGGTGAGCTCAGGATGCCAGACCATCATCATCACTGAGCTCACTGGCTTAGTATAGGAAGATGGGAAGCAGTGATAACACTAGATAACTAATTATAAATGATGCCTTAAATTTCTTTTTTTACAATTGAGTGATTGTGCTATTTATTTGAAGCATTTGATGTTGATTAAATACAGAGATGCTCATAAACTGAAACTTGATAGAAATAATTAGAGAAGAAGTTTAATTACAGTAAATTAAGAGAAGAAAACACTGTGAAGCAGAAACAACAGATGCTTAAGGATGAAAATGCTAATTCAAAACTACTAGAAACATTAAAGGGAAATTTGGAAGGAATCTGGTTTACACCGACAAAACAGTTTCTTCCAGTACTTTCATTTCTTTAATGACAACTTTCAGATTTGTCAGGAATGTTTAATTTATCTGCCTTTATTTTTGGTATTTTTCCATAGTTATTCCCTGTTCTCTTACTACAGAGAACATTTTCCAACTTAAGAATTTTTAACTGTTCCCTGATTCTTGTGGAATTTCAAATATCAATAGTATTGATAGCTAATACTTTGAATCTAGTACTCAAATGTTATATGCTTGGCATATTTATAAAAAATTAGCATTTTCAACAAAAACACAACTTGGTACCAGTGTGTACTAGGTACTGGCATGTAGAATATATTTTCATATTTCATACACAAACTTGTTTTGGGCTTATTTGAAAATATGGGATATTATTTGTAGATTCTTAGGATTGTAATTCTGAATATATATTTTCTTCAACCCACATTTTCTCCTTGTTCTAGAAAGATAACTTATAGGAAATTTGACAATTAGTATCCATTGCTGAAGCTAAAGAGATGTCAATTTTAAGATGAAGATTAATAACACAAATGAGAGTTTATGCTTGACCTCAAAACAATTCTTTTTTTAGAAAAGTTGGATTTAGTAAACTGAACTACTTCTGGTATTCAACACATGGAAATAATCATGTTAGTTACACCCTTGTAATATTGTAATTTTAGACAAATTTATTCCCACCCTGTTATGGTTTATAAAGTAAACTTCTTATATCAGGGGTCAACCTTTCATTTATAGTTGTGTTTTTCTAATAGCAACAATAAAAGAACTTCATGCTTAAAATCTTCGGCAGCCTCCTATCAGCAGAACAATTTGTAACTAGCAATTTAGGGAAATAAATTCTGTATTTCTTTTATAGTTTACCTCACTCACCGTTTGTTTGTAAAAGACAGCAGTTCTATGGTCTGAGGTGTCATTTATTCAGTCACAATGATAGAAAACATATTTTAAGTTATAAGCATAAATAAAAAGATGAAACCTCATTGATGTCTTTTTCCTCACAATGCTTAGATACTTTACTCCATAGAATTATGACCCTAGATGGTGGTAAAAACTGGATTCAAAGGATAAGTTTGTGGGAAACTAGCTTTGTTATACCACACATGTGGTATACAAAAGATCCACATATTGTAGGACAAGAAACAGCAAAAACAATAAGACCTTCGTTAGTAAACAAACATAAAAGGCATTTCGGCTTCAGCTTGGCCTTACTGCTAAGAAGCATTTTGTATGAAACTTACAGTTGAATTCTTATTCCAAGAGTATGAAAAGAAATAAACCAGTGAAGTCAAATGTCTTAGTAAAGCAATTTATGACATACTGGAAAAAGCACCCAGTACACGAACATATACATGTCTGAATTTTGTAAATCTGAACCTTTTTTACATTAAAAATTGTTTTCATATCTGAAGCAAAACAAATGCATAAATGAAAGGCTATGATAACTTAGTTACTATTTAAAGAAAACCCTAAATCTTATATGGAAATTTTGTGCATTATAAAAGAAAAACTAATGAAACAATTCCTTTGCGGAGGCTGGCATTGTGCCATAGTGTATAAAGTCGCCGACATACCATATGTGCACTGGTTTGAGTTCCGGCTGCTCCACATCCAATTCAGCTCCCTGCTAATGTGCCTGGGAAATCAGCCGAAGATGACCCAAGTGCTTGGGCCCTGCATCCACTTGGGAGATCCAGAAGAGGCTCCTGGCTCCTGACTTTGGTCTAGCCCAGGCCTGGCTGCTGCTGCCATCTGGGGAGTAAGTCCAAAGATAGAAGATCTCTAGCTCTCTCTAACTCTACCTTTCAAATAATTTCACATAAGTAAATCTTAAACAAAACTTTACATAATATACTGGTCATGCGATCATAATTCTATCTATGTTATTGTTGAATCAAGACTTCTCTATTCCATTTTCTCCATAGAACTCTGGAGATTAATAAACTTTTATGTAATTTTCTTTTGACAGGGAAACTTTGTCAGTTTTTCCAAGAGGTATCATGCTAGATTCATAGGACTAATGCTTCCAGAAATGCTGGGCCCTCTGTCAATGAGACTTTTCCCAGACTGTGTTGTGGTCACTAATTGTGCAGAAGAGAATTGACACAGCAGGACTGACCTTTCCTTCCTTAGAAAGGGCTGCTTGCAAGGTTGGCCTTTAACTGGATCCTGATAACTTGAATTTCAAGAGGGTTCCCACCATTCCCAAAAATAAGTATCTCCTTCACCTTGAACTCTTGTGCAAACAATTGGATTTGTGTTAAATACTTCTTTTTGTCCTGGAAATCTGGACTTGGGGTGTGTATAGGTGACGGATCCACAGTAAAAATCTTGGTCTCACAGGCTTAGACAGGAGTCCTCGCAGTTAGTATTTCGCTTATGTTGCAGCAAGTGCACTGGTGGGAGTGTTAAGCATATCCTCATGGCTCTCCCGGCAGAGGAATCTTAGGAGTTTATGCCTGGTATCTTACAGACTTCACTGCATGCCCTTTCCTACTGATTTGCCTGTTTATCTTTTTGTTTGTAATAAATCATCTCCTTGGGTGCAACTTTATGCTGAGCCCTATGAACCTGACAACAAATCGCCAAATCTTGAGGTAGTCTTGGGGAACCTGACTCTAGTATTCAGAGGCACCTGTCTGGTCAGTTTCACTCTCAAGTTCTACACTTTCACTGACATTGTTGCCTAGCCCCAGACCACCTCTCATCTCCTAATTATATGGGGGGGTCCCTGACATTCTCAATCTATTATTCCTGGAAATGGCTTTCGAGTCCTCTCATTTTTACTGTCTCTATAATTTTGTTTGGTTTGGCAGGAATCAATCTACATTATATCTGTGTATGCACATTGCCTCTCTCTTACTTCATTTTAAGTTATTTGAATGTAGAGAATTTTTTGTCATTCTACCAATAGCTGCCTATGCTCTGCACAAATCAATACCACATTAAGTGATTTTGATAAGAGAATGTCATTAAAGTATGTGTTGCTTCATCACTGCCATCTGATCTCTGGAACTATATAAAAATCGGATTTAGAATATCAGAGGAAGTCTTAAAACTATAGCAGTTGTTAAATTTTAAACAGTTTTAGTGTTCTGTAAATGATTAGTGTAACCTAATAACTTTGATTAATTGACCTGAGTAAAATACATGAACTATTGCCATGTGTTTTCTGGATATATATAAAAGGGAATAAAAAATTACTCCAGAAAATTGAATTATGACTTCAAATGTATATGGATGTGTGTACATGTATCTTAATATGAACTATTAAATTAGTTTATTTTTCTTCAGGAATTATTCTATCCTCAGTCTTAAATTCTTCCCCCAAAAATGGCCTCATAAACTGTCCCAAAGGCTCAGTTTCATGGTTCCCCACTGTTGTTTTTTTTTCTTTTTGTTATTGCTAAAATTCTTTTAAAACTTGACTGGTAACTATGAGACCTTAGTAGAAAGTTAGATTTCATTGGATACAATTTCAAAGCTGGAGAAAAATTGAAAATCATCATGGCATTTTTAAAATTGTTTATTTTTCATCTATTTGAAAGTGACAGAGGAAAGGGGAGAGAGAATTTTCCATTGACTGGTTTATGATCCCAAATGCCTGCAATAGCCAGACACAGGCCAGGCCAAAGCCAGGATCCCAGAACTCCATTTGTATCTCCCACATGGGTGACAGATGCCCAAGCCCTTGAACCATCATCCACCACCTCCCAAGATGCACATGGAGGAGGCTGGATTGGAAACAGAATCCTCATACTGGATCCAGCACAGTGATAAGGGAGTGGGAGTTCCACGTGGTGGGTTAACCCCCTGACCATAATACCATTGCATTTTAAGCCCATTTTAATTTAAACTTTGACATAAAATAACCATCTAGTGAGTATATTAGAGAAGAGAGATTAAGTGTTCCGGAGTTAGCCACTCTATGTTAGAAAATTTCAGATACCATCCTTTCTATGTTTACTTGCTTGATTAAATATAAATTTACAACCTTGGAATCATTATGAATATTGGACAAATGCAATTTTATCACTCTCCTTCCTAAAATGACAGCAAGATGTTGACAAGTGTGAGCTGCAAAATGCAAAGGAAGCCAGCCAACACCAAAATTCATGGAAAAAGAGTGAAAGCATTCTTAAGTTAAAGAATGGAAAAAGGGTGTCCTCTCTCACTACTTCCATTCAGTATTGTGCTGAAATCTCTGGCTAGAACAATTAGGCAAGAAAGCAAAAAGCAGAAGCCCTACAGATTGGAAAGAAGTAAAGCTATCTCTTTTCACAGATGACATGATCTTGTATACATAAATTTAAGAAATCCACCAATAAAACTATTGGGACTAATAAAGCAATGGAAGCAAAGATAGAGCTACAAGAGTTTGAGTGGTGATGGTATCACAACTATACTTAGATGGAGGTCATAGGAAGGCCCTGAACTTATACTGTCCTAGGAAACCTACAAACTGTGGAAATTGTTGCAAGTTAGAAATCTAGGTCCCCTTCTCAGTTTTGAATAATCAGGCAAATACTTCCTTTTCTCTTACTCCTTCTGCGTTTTTCTGAAATGCAATAGGCGTTTGGTCTCTCTGTGGAAGAGCTAAATAAGAGATGCAGGAGATGGAAATCCCAGAGCATTTAAAAAGAACGAGTCTTTGGTACAGTGAGTTCATTTCCATCAATCAAACTCTGTCCTCCCGGTTCCTTTGTTGCTTCTCACTTACCTACCGTCAGCCTTAAACCACCACCAACAAACCCCAACCACCAGAGCTATCAGTAGTTAAGTAACTATGCCCCCCAGAGAGTTAGAATAATTCTCAAGAGTAATGCGCTGCTTCTAGCCCTGGCTGCTCCACTTCTGATCAAGCTCCCTGCTATTGCACCTTGAAATTCGGCCCAAGTAGTTGGGACCCTGCTACCACCAATGTGGGAGACTGTGGTGGGGTTCCAGGCTCCTGACTTAGGCCTGGTCTAGACCCAGCAGATGTGGTCATTTGGGGGTGTGAATCAGCAGAGGGAAGATCTGTCTTTTTCTGTAACTACCTTTTGAAGAAAGAAAATGATCATTTTTTAAAAAATTGTTTTTCATGAGAACCTACTGGAGGATATGCATCAGCAAAAGAACTGCATCAGTGGAGAGACAAACCTGCCTGCGTCATTGGCAAACAACTGAGCAGATTCCCAGGATGAGAGTTGCAGTGTTCAAGGATCACCACACAGACAGAAGTATGCTGAAGTCAGCATAGTGGAGACAGCCAGGGGAAATAACATTCACCCATCTGTTGAATGATGATTTGGATGATTTTGGTTAAGCATTGGAGATATGTACACACACACACACACAATTTACATATATATACGTGTGTATAAACATATAGTAATATACTGAAGAAACAAACTTCAAAATAATTAGACCACAAAACAAATTTGTACAAGAAAGAAAATAATGTACTGTCTTGCTCAGCAGTGAACAGAAGTACTTTTATAGTCATGAAAAGGTAACCTCTGGGCTTACTGCAACTTTTGAGGTTCTGAGGGTGGGGAAATGTTCAAGAAGTAGGCTCAAGAAAGCGGAATCCTTACCTATCACAGCAGGGAGTCAGGCACAATATCTGAATGTGATAATTTAGATAATAACAACATGCTATATTTGTGTATACAGATGAATTCCTGAAGAATTACCTAAACTGGTTTTAAAATAAAAATTTAGAGAGAAGGAATAGGCAAGTGAGGAGTAAAATGAATAGCTTAAAATTGCTTTTCAAGAAATCATTAAGTCATTGGTTATACAATTACTTATGTGAATTGTATTCATGACAATTTTAAAATACTATATTGAGAAAAGATGATTCATTCTTGTTTAGTCTTTCCAAAAATACACATATAATTTTTACTTGGTTATTAGTTGGGAAACAGCAAAATTATTAGTCTTATGTAAATTCTTCAGTTTATGTTGCTAATACCTATATTTCATATGCTTAATGAAATATCAATTGTGAATGTTTTTAAGTTGAATATTTTTAAGTGCATATTTTAAGTTGAATTTCTGAGAATGAAAATCTGAAATGAAGGTTATTGTTGCATAAATTTCTGCAATGTGGGAAAATCAGTGTGGTCTAAAATCCGTTAAGAGATTCTTGTTTATTATTCATTGATAGCTCTTCGTGATATCAAGGAGCTTTGACCTTGGCCATATTTTCAGCTACTTGAGTATAATTCAGCATCAACCACATTTGATTGTAATTTTTTGAAGTTCCAAAAGAGACTCTTTAAGTATTCAGAGACTTAGGAGTATAAATATATAATAAAACATTTTCATATTGATATTTTTCAGTAATTACTTTAAGACCTTTAAGTACTCTTATAAATTCTAATGGCAGGTTAGCCTAGGTGATATATGACACTTTCTAAAATAGTCTCTTTTATATCTTAAATATGAAAATCAATCAAAATGGGACTAAATCAGTTACTAAAATATAATCTTATAGTTACCTTTGATATGCTTTTCCCTCTTTAGATATGAACATTATTCAATAAAACATTTTAAAAATAATTTAAGTTGTCCTTAATGTATTTGCCTAAGGAAGAAAATGTAATAATTGCATTATTCAATAGATCACTTGTTACAGGGCAGATGTGGTCTCATGTGAACAATGTAGTGTAAGGATAAGACAACTTCTAAAGTCATATAAATTGAATTAATGTTATTTACAAAGTAGAAATTTTAAAATGTCCTCATATCATTGAACTGTTAATAGTATTACAGTCTTAGCAAGCTAAATACTTTTTAGTTATTCAGAAGCTACAATGTAATTGGTGAATTTTAAAAATAAAGATGATAGTCAAGTTAGATATAATGTTTGTCATTAGAGGAGACAATCAGTGTTACACACTATGAGCAAATTTTAAATCTTTGAAAACACTGAAGCAATTTCTTATAACTTTTTTTAATAAAATCATATATGCTTGACATCGGCTAAGTTTTAATATTGAGATTCCTTCAATCTTTGGTTTCATTTTTTCAGTCTGTCTTTAAGATTAAAAGTAATTTAAGCACTATGTTTATTAATGATGCACTAAAGTCAATTATCTTTTCATGACTATAGTAAAATCAAGACCAAGAAATATAAGCTTGAGTGTGAATAAAAATCATTAGAAATGGACACAAATTTTATAGAAAAACCTGCCAGTTATACCTTCATTTGGAAGCAGAGACTATTTTAATCTGTATTTTTAGGGACTGGTACAGTGATTGGTGCAGAGTCTCACTTTAATTAATGAAATGATATATATAGGCAGCTTTTTCCATAATCAACATTATAGAATCATAACTTATGACTGTATAACTCATTATGAAATTCAATCTGTATAAAAAACTTTAAGATTTCCCTTGAAAACATGGGAATACTGGGGATAGGTGTTGTTGACACAGCCATATGTGATGCTGGCTTCCCATATCAGAGTACCAATCTGAGTCCCAGCTGTTCTGCTTCTTATCTAACTTCCAGCTAATGAATCTGGGAAGGCAGCAGATAGCCCAAGTGTTTGAGCCCCTTGTCACCCGTGAAGGAGATCAGGATGAAGTTTCTGGCTCCTGACTTTGACCTGGCCAAACCATGGATGTTGTGGATATGTGGGCAGTGAACCAGTTGATGGAAGATTTCTCTCTGTCCTACACCTGTCTTTCTCTGAGTTACTCTGCCTTTCAAGTAAAATGAAAATAAGTATTTTCTTTTAAAAAGAAATAAAATGCAGGATTTTGTAGATGCTTTGTGCAAGTTGCAACTTGGAATGCTGGCATCCAGTATCACAGAGGTTGGTTCAAATCCCAGCTACTCTGTTTCTGACCCAGCTTCTGCTAATGGCACCCTGAGAAACAACAGGTGATAGCATGAGTTCAGTCTGGCTTAGTCCTGCATGTTTCAAGCATTTGGGGAGATTGCTGATCTCTCTTTGTCTCTTTCTATTTCGTATAAATAATTATAAAAAAATGGATGGAGAGGTAGCTAGGCCCTTTGCAATGGGATAGCCAAGTGTTGTGATTTTGCTAATTCTATAACTAAGCTAATAATTCTCTCCAAATGTCAGCTTTCTTGTGGGTAAATATGACAATATGAATGTGTACCTTATAAGATTTTTCTGAGATTATGTGGTAAACTATGTAAATGATTTAACATTTTTAAAATATATTTACTTAAAAGGCAGATAACAGAGAGGGAGGTCTTCCAACGATTTGTTCATGCCCCAGTTGGCTGCAATGGCTGGGGCTGGGCCAGGCTGAAGTCAGGACTCTGGTATTCTGAGTCTCCCACATGAGTGCCAGGATCACAAGTACCTGGACCATTTTTCACTGCCTTCTCAGGCTCATTAGAAAGGAGCTTGGTTGGAAGCAAAGTAGCCAGGACTTGAACAAGTCAAGTAGTTCATATAGGATGCAGTGTGGTGGCAGCTTAAACTACTGTGCTGCAATGCTGGCCCCTCACACATCCACTAGTTAGGGGTAGCTGTTGTAGATAGGAATCTAGATAAAATTATATATAATTTGATATAATGTGTTGTCTCTTTTAAAAGATATTACCTTGGGGTTGGCATTGTGTGCACTGGGTTAAATCATTGCTTGTAACACTGGTATCCCATATTGGAGAGCTAGTTCCAGTCCCACTTGCTCTGCTTCCAATCCATCTTCCTGCTGATGCTCCGGGGAAGAGAGCGGATGATGGCTGAAGTACTTGGGCCCTTGACACCAGTGTGGGAGACCTGGATGGAATTCTTGGCTTCTAGCTTCAGTCTGATCGAGACCTAGCTGACTGTTGTGTCCATTTGGTAACTGAAATAGTAGATGGAAAATTTATCTATATCCATCTTTTTCTCTTCCTGTAGCTTTGGCTTTCAAATAAGTAAATCAGTCTGAGAAAGATTGATTTATGGAAATGTACATGAAAGCCATTTTCCCTTTTCCATCCCTCTCCACAGTGCATTTTATCTCTTTGTTGGCAAAGAAAATTCCAAGGGTGAAATAATCATTTATATGGCCATTAAGTGTTTCTTCCAGTGTTCCCTATTCAATATAGTCAACAAAAATGCTAATTACTCCTAATTGGGAGACACCAATTAGGTCCATTAGCAGATGCAGAGACCCCCTAAAGCATCGCTCAGAAATTAACTTCCTCTGAAATAAATTTAACTCTATCATTAAGAGGTCAAAGGGATTAGAATTAAAATAACATTAATCTCCTTTTTTAACTATCAGTAGAAATATACAAGCCATACAAATATATTCTTCTATATTTTGCCTGATTGGTGTGGAGCCGGGGAACCACAAAACAAAACAAATTCCTGAAAAGTAAATTTCTAGCACCTACTTTATTCTTAATGCAATAAGTGAAATTTCCTGTAAGTACTTCTATGCTTATAAACTACTAAAAGAATTTGATATGGTAGTCTGTGTTATGTTGGTAAGCTTCTCCTTAGTTGACAAAGGAATAACAAAAAACAAGAAGGTTTTCATTAAGTCTAATCTCTTTCAAAAGTATTATTGGCGTGATCAAATAGCCAAATTTTACAAAAATGTATTATCTGTGGAGGAGCGTATATAACTAGTATTCATGTGTGTTGATGGAATAATTCTATGCAGTAAGTCTAATTCAAATGAAAATATAGTTTTTAGACAGGCTACCATTGCCCATTACTCCTAAACTTATGTAGTATTCAAATATCCTAAAAGTTGAGTAAAGAAATGTTACAATTTCCATCTAAAGCTGGCTGGAATCTTCAGTATTTCTTAGGTGTCTGACCGATAATTTGTTACTATTTATATTTACATGAATTTCTATTTATAGTGGAAATTCATGAATACACCAGATCCATCCTATTTACCTTGTAACAATTCTGAAATTTTCATTTTAAACTTCATAATCTTCTAAAAGAAGGTGTTAAACAGGGTAGAAGGTTAAATCAAATTTATAGAAACTTATCCTGGATTTATAGCCTGAAATGTAGTACAAAAGACTTTAGTGGGTTTAAAAATATTTCTGAAGTGAAAGCTTCCTATGGTTAAAGGACTTAATCTATGCATTCTTTCTATCAAACAGACTGTAATATGTTGGGTGTACCTTTTCTAATCTAAACAGATCATATTAAATCTGTAATTGAAGTTGTTATCAACATTTCCACACAATTTCAACCCTTTAGACAAGAGTGTTGAAGCTGATTTCAAGTGAATCTTCAATTTGACCTGAAGAATTCTTCGTATATGTGAATGATGCTCTTAGAAAAATTGCTTGAAACAAATTGAGCATTTCTGTTATATCTAAATGTCAGCCATTCTTTGTAGCTTCCATGTAATCTTTGGGCTGTTTATCTCCAGATTATTGTCTGTTGCCTCTTTGGCTACAAAATGCTTTTACACGTGGTCTTCATTTATTTTTAGTGTAGTGAAAGCACAGTTCTATGGAAAAATATAAGATGTGAATATTTAAATGGTGAACCAGCCTATGGCAACAAAGTTAATTATGAAATTAGATGCACAAGAGATGAAACTCATTGCTGACACAAAGTACAGCTTCCACTTTATCTAGCAAACTTTGTAGTATTTAAAGTGATACTGTCATTTTATTGATTTCTGAACATTTCACATTAGAGTAAGCACTTGAAACTTTGAGTCACAGCAATATAAACACTTGTTCATCTGTGAGGGGTTGAAGTTTAATAATTGGCAGGCTTGCAGACAATCTCGTCTAGATTTTTAAATTAGGACAAACAAACTGCTGGGGAGAAGGATATGTTTTTCCCTACGCCCTTAGGGGTCTTTGGCTGGATCTAAGAATTAAATAGACATTAAAAATGAAAGCATACAGCTATTAATTTTTGCATATACATGGGACTCAAGATATTGAGAATGTGAATAATTGGCCAACACAGATCTTTTATACATTTAAGCAAACAATTTTTGAATATGTGATAATATATATTTTAGATTATGATTTAAAAAAATCAGATTCTCAGGGTGAAATTGGCTTGTGTTGATCATTTAAAATTGAGGAGAGACATTTGAGAAACAATTTTTATATTAATACAACTTTCTTTTGCTGTTTCACTTAAAAAATCCTTATCTAAAATCACAAAAGTTGATGCCTATATTTTTTTCTGCAAGTGTTGTTTTAGTTCCTATATTAGGTCTTTGATTCATTTTGATTAAATTTTAATTTGTAGTGTAAGGTGGAGATCCAACTTCATTCTTGTGTTCTTACAGAAAACATTCTTCATTCTCACTGAAAAAGTGTTGATTATTTTCCTCGGTGAATTATTTTAAACAACTCTGATAACCAGAAGACTAAATGTGAGGATTCAGTTAGACTCTCAAGAGCCATTCCACTGACCTTTATGTCCATTACCACACTGTCTTGGATATAATGACTTTGTAGTAAATTTTGAAAGTAGAAAATATGAGTCTTCCTACCTTTTTTTCCCAAGAGTATCTTTTCTGTGTCTCTTGGATTTCCATGTGAATTTGTAAGATCACCATCAATTTTTGCAAAAAAAAAGAAATCTGATATTTTTATTAATATAAAGTTGGTGAGTATTGACATCTTAAGTCTTCTGATTCATGAATTTGGGCTATTATTACATAGGTTCAGATTTCATTCAATAATGTTTATTATAAACATTACTATTTGGCCTAAGATCATACAGTAATTATTCATACAATTATCATTAACTCTTTCTGCTAATCATTATGGAATAATCATCATTATTAGCATAATCATTATGCTAATCATCATGGTGTTTGTGATCTTTAGAGATTATAATATATATGTGAAAAATACAACTACTTTCTTTGCCTGTATTCTTATTACCAAAAAATATAACTCGCTTCTTGAAATTAGTCTCAGAATATGCTGTGAATCTCAGATTATTTTTCAAAAAGATATCAGGGCAAGCAAAAAAAAAAATCATGAATAAAACTTGTTATATTTAAATATCCCAGGGGAATATAATCATTCATATAATATGTTACTTTATAGTATACATAAGTTGTATTTTTAATAGTCATTTATTTATTTGAAAGGCAGAGTCACAGGTCGAGGCAGAAACAGAGAGAGATGTCTTCCATCCACTGGTCCTCTCTGCAGGTGGCCGCAGTGGCTGGACCTGTGCTGATCCGAAGCCTGGAGCTTCTTCCAGGTCTCCGATTCAAGTGCAGAGGCCCAAGGACTTGGGCCAACTTCCACTGCTTTCCCAGGCCAGCAGAGAGCTGGATTGGAAGTGGAGCAGCTGGGACTCAAACCCACACCCATATACCCACCATGCCACAGCACTGGCCCCAAGCTGTATTATCTTTCAATGTTATTCTAGGCTGCATTTCCATGCCAGTGATTTGATTTCATACATATAAGCCTGATTATTTGACTGTACTGTCGCTCCCCCTCTTCGTGGAGGAACGACACAGGACCCTGCGCTGTTCTTTCTGTCTGCTCGGCCCTCCCCGGGTTTGCTGCTGGTTCTTCCCGGGTTGGCTACTATCCCTTCCACCTCCGTGGAAGGGCAGTTCCCCCTGGCCACATTCCCCACTTCCGCAGGGGAGCGGCACACCGCCGGCCGGCTTTCTCGGGGGCTGCACAGGTGTTCCCTCAGATGTTCCCCTTAGATGTTCCTGGTGCATGCCGTCTCTCTCCTCCTTTATAGTCCTCCTCCGCCAATCCCAACTCGGCCGCCCACACGCCGAGTACGCTGCTCTCCAATCAGGAGCAAGTCCTACAGTTTATTGGTTGAACTGGAGGCAGCTGTGCGGAAGCTGTTTACTTCTCTCCCAGCGCCATATTGTGGGAGAGCAGATGCATAGAATAAGTCTTAATTCCAGTAACTCAGTCCAGTCCGGATTGCTCCCCACACTGTACCTTTTCTATTCCTTTAGTTTTATGATACAAGGGAGGAGGGTACCCAAAGTTTATAGGAAATTTACAATACCTTAATTCCATTTTTTATGAATGCTTTTACATCCCCTTGTATTAAGTAGATCATCTAAAAGAACCACTTCCTTATCTTTTCTCCAATATATCTACCTATATAAGAAATGGATAGTTTTACTTTTTTAGTTTTTTGTTCATTATGTAATTAAAGTTTTCAGTTTGTTTTAGTGGAATAATTTTAAATTCATTTAGATTTTTGAAGTTAAAAACTTATTCACTGGGCCTGGCTTTGTGGCATTTTGGGTAAAGCCATGGCCTGTGATGCCAGCACCCCATTTGAGTGCCTCTTTAAGTCCCTGCTGCTCCACTTCTGTATCAGTTCCCTCTAATGGCCTGGGAAAAGCAGCAGAGGATGGCCAAAGTGTGTAGGTCATTGCTACTCATGTGGAAGACCTGGATAAAAGCTCCTGGCTTTGGCTTGATTCAGCCATGCTTGTTGTGGCCATCTGGTGGATGAACCTGTAGATGGATGGAAGATGGATCTGTCTGTCTCTCTGTCTCTCTCTCTCTCTCTTTCCTCACTGTGTCTTTCCCTCCCTCTCTCATTCTCTCTTTCTCTTTGTCATTTCCTTTCTGACTTCAAATAAATCTTAAAAAAAAAACTTTTCACAAAATGATGTCACTTTACTAGATCTAGCATTCCTATAGCAAAATAAAAAAAAAGACTTTTTGAAATAAAGATTTGTTTATATATAATTCTGCCTTTCAAATAAAGAGATCTTCCATCTGCTGTTGTACTCCCCAAATAGTTGCAATGGCCAGCACTAGGCCAGGTCAAAGTCAGAAACCAGGAACTCCATACAGGTATCCCACATGGGTGGCAGAGTCCCAAGCACTCGGGCATCTTCTGCTGCTTTCCCAGGTGCATTAGCAGGGAGCTGGATAGGAAGCACAGCACCCAAGTCTTGAACCAGCATTCATAAGGATGCTGGCTTCACAGGCTGTGGTTTAACCTGTTCTGCTACAATGCCAGCTCCCAAAACATAAACTTTTTATTTCAGTTTTGGGAATAAAAGATCTTCAGATCATCACATACTGTCCATTTAAAAAAATCGCAGTTATATCTTGCAGAAGCAAGTCTTTTTGGTGTGGTGGTCCATAACTGCACACATGGACTATGAAACTTCCAGTTAGACTTTAAATGTAGCATTGGCCCTGGAATAAAATTCATTTCTTCTTATCACAGAGTTAAAAGAAGCTTACCTTCCTGACTTAATTATCATTATAAGTTTATTGTCTGACTCTATGACACATTAGCTGCAATATGAATATTTATATGCTTCCAAAATTTGTGTTGAAACTTCATCCTCATGTAGTGATAATAAAAAGTAAGATCTCTCAGGAGGTGACAAAGTCCTTAAGTCTCCCTCTAGGAGCTGCCTGGGCTCTTCCAATCCTTCTTTCACGTGAGAATGCAGTGAGAAGGATCATCTTGTATGTAGAGACTAAGCCCTTGAGAGTCATTGAATCTGGGGCCGGCTCTGTGGTGCAGCGGGTTAAAGCCCTGGCCTGAAGTGCCAGCATCCCATAAGGGCGCTGGTTCTAGTTCCTGCTGCTCCTCTTCTGATCCAGCTCTCTGCTGTGGCTTGGGAAAGCAGAAGATGGCCCAAGTCCCTGTGCCCCTGCACCCACGTGGGAGACCCGGAAGAAGCTCCTGGCTTCGGATCAGCACAGCTCCGGCCGTTGCAGCCATCTGGGGAGTAAACCAGCAGATGGAAGACCTTTCTCTCTCTCTCTCTCTCTCTCTCTCTCCCTCTCTCTCTCTCTCTATTTCAAATAAATAATACAGGACAATTAATCTGTCAGTACTTGGATCTTGGATTTCCCAGCCTCCACAGCTGTGAGAAACAAATTGCTTGTATTTGTTAATTACTTAGTCTAAGTTATTTTATTACAGCAGCACGGATAAAGACAACATCACCTTTGTTATGAACATTTTTCAAATACCAGTCCTTGCCACTGCTGCTTAAAATTGTATATTCGGCATCTAATGTTTTCTCTCTGACCACAGTCTTAAATGCTGCACTGACAAGCAATCTGTCTCACTCCCTCTCAACCCAAGCAGTAGAGGGAGGGGTGATCTTATCCACTCTTTTTAGTTTGGAAACGCTTGGGAGCACTTTATTCCTCTAGCCACAGTGATTACTTTAGGGACAGGCAAGTGACCCAGGCCAGAAAAACATCCTGGGATTATGGCTGGTCTAATAGGAAAGGAGGGTTTTTTAAATCTGTCCAGGTTGCTGAACTTACGGTTTGTAAGACTGGTGCTGTTAATGGCCCTTCTACCCTCTGTGTGAAATAAGCCTGCCTGAAATAAAGCTGCAAAGGAAGATGCCACGGCTCTGATATAGAAAAAGTTTCTAGGGCTGGTGTTTGGTTCAGTGGTTAAGATACCACGTGGGACACCTGTATCCTATACAAAGTAACTTATTTGAGTCTCTGTTCTGCTCTAATCCAGTTTTATACTAATGTACACACTGGGAGGGAGCAGTCACAGCTTAAGTGTTTGGTTCCCTATCACCCACATGGGAAACATGAATTGGATACAGGGTTCCTGGCTTCTACCTCGCTCAGCCCAGATTGTTGTGGGCAGGATTAATCAACAACTTATCTTTTAATTTAGTCATTTGAAATCAGTTTCTATAACTTGCACCCAAGATAAACCTGTAAGTCAAATTTGAGTATTTAAAGTTATCAAGTGATAAAGACAGAAGAACATTTTAAACCTTACAAAAAAAATTTAGGAGAGGATACCGTTAGTAAACACTAATCCGGCATGAGAATTAGATGGAATGCTCATAGCTTCAGGGAGAAAATAATTCTTATTTAAATATATTCTTACATACAAAACATACAGTTGTGCATATTTGCATAACATTTTTTGAGAAATACACACTTTCATTAAAAAAGGTTTCTCATTTTTTTTATTTTTCCCAAGGAAACCTTTTATTTAATAATTACAAATTTCATAAGTACAACTTAAGGAATATAGCTATTCTTCCCATCATATCTGCACTCCCCCCACTCCCTCTCCCTTTCTCAGTCCCATTCTATGTTAAGATTCATTTTCAATTAACTTTGTACACAGAACACCAACTCTGTACTAAGTAAGGATTTCAACAATTTGCACACACAAAATATTTGAGAACAAGTCTTACAGTTAACTCTTGTAGTACAACTCATTAAGGACAGAGGTCCTGCATGGGAAGTTAGTACACAGTGACTCCTATTGTTAATTTAACAATTAACACTCTTATGTATGATGTTAGTGACCACCTGAGGCTCTTGACAGGGGCTTCCGAGGCTATGGAAGCCTTTTGAGTCCATAAACTCCTTCAGTATTTAGACAAAGCCATAAGCAAATTAGAAGTTCTCTCCTCCCTTTAGAGAAAAGTATATCCTTTGGCTGCTTCTTTCCGCTGTGGTTTCACTCACAGAGATCCTTTATGTAGAGCATTTTTTACCATAGTGTCTTGGCTTTCCATGTCTGAAATGCTCTTATGGGCTTTTCAGGCAGACCAAGAAGCCTTAAGAGTGGATTCTGAGGTCAGAGTGTGCTTTAAGCAATTGTCATTCTATGAGTCTGCTGTGTGGACCACTTTCCATGGTGAAATATTCTCTCTTTTTTTAATTCTATTATTACCAGACACTTGATCCTATTTATATGATCACTTTAACACTTTATCCTATCTGTTCAGTTTAACACTTAATATGGTCACTTTAACACTTAACATAGCATTTTTATTACCCAATGTAATGGGATTTGGGGTCCCTTGCAAGTTTTTAAATTGTACCCTTAAAAGTAAGTCTTTAGGAATGTATGCAGAACTATATAGCTTTACATTTACAAACTTCCTCCTTTTATTTTTTTACTGAGATCCATCCATAATTGACTTTATACACATATGATTAACTCTGTTGAGAGTTCAATAAATATTATGAAAAAAAATAAAAACAAATTGTTCCTCAACAGTCAAGACAAGGGCTGCTCAAGTCATCCATCTTGACGTGTCAATTTCACTTCTACAGATTACATTTTAGGTGTTCTATTAGTTTTCACACATCAGGAATACATACGGTATTTGTCCCTTTGGGACTGGCTTATTTTATGAAGTATGATTTCAAAATTCATCCATTTTGTTGCAAATGACTGCAATTCATAGAATACATATCCCACAATTTCTTTATCCAGTCTTTGGTTGATGGGCATTTAGGTTGTTTCCATGTCTTAGTATTGTGCTTTGAACTGCAATAAACATGGGGTGTACAGATCGCACTTTCATATGTTGATTTCATTTCCCTTGGGTAAATTCCCAGGTGTGGGATAGCTGGGTTGTATGGTAGGGCTATATTCAGAATTCTGAGGTATCTCCAAACTATCTTTTATAGTGGCTTTACCAGTTCACATTCACACCATCCCACCATGTGTGCCTTTTCCCTCACATCCTCACCAGCATTTGTTGTTTGTTGGTTTCTATATGAAAGCCATTCTACCAGGGTGAGGTGAAATCCCATTGTGGTTTGGATTTGCATTTCCCTGATGGCTAGTTGTCGCTCCCCCTCTTCGTGGAGGAACGACACAGGACCCTGCGCTGTTCTTTCGTCTGCTCGGCCCTCCCCGGGTTTGCTGCTGGTTCTTCCCGGGTTGGCTACTATCCCTTCCACCTCCGTGGAAGGGCAGTTCCCCCTGGCCACATTCCCCACTTCCGCAGGGGAGCGGCACACCGCCGGCCGGCTTTCTCGGGGGCTGCACAGGTGTTCCTTCAGATGTTCCCCTTAGATGTTCCTGGTGCATGCCGTCTCTCTCCTCCTTTATAGTCCTCCTCCGCCAATCCCAACTCGGCTGCCCACACGCCTAGTACGCTGCTCTCCTCCAATCAGGAGCAAGTCCTACTGTTTATTGGTTGAACTGGAGGCAGCTGGGTAGAAGCTGTTTTCTCCTCTCCCAGCACCATATTGTGGGAGAGCAGGTGCATAGAATAAGTCTTAATTCGAGTAACTTAGTCTAGTCCGGGTTGCTCCCCACAGCTAGTGATCCTGAATATTTTTTCATATGTCTGTTGGCCATTTGGATTTCCTCTTTTGAAAAATGTCTATTTAAGTCCTTGGCCTATCTCTTAAGTGGGTTGTTTGTTTTGTTGTGGAGTTTCTTGATCTCTTTGTAAATTCTGGTTATTAATCTTTATCAGTTGCATAATGTGCAAATAATTTCTCCAATTCTGTTGGTTGCCTCTTCACTTTCCTGGCTATTTCTTTTGTCATACAGAAGTTTCTCAATTTGATGTAATCCCAGTTGTTAATTTTGGTTTTGGCTGCCTGTGCCTCTGGGGTCTTTTCTAAGAAATATTTGCCTGTGCCATATCTTGCAAGGTTTCTTCAATATTCTCTAATAATTTGAGGGTGTTGGGTCATAGATTTAGATATTTAATTCATGTTGAGTGGATTTTTGTGTAACATATAAGGTAGGGGTCTTATTACATACTTCTGTATGTGGAAATCCAGTTTTCCCAGCACCATTTGTTGAAATGACTGTCCTTGCTCCAGGGATTGGTTTTAGCTCCTTGTTAAATGTAAGTTGGCTGTAGATACTTTGATTGATTGCTGGCATTTCCATTCTGTTCCATTGGTCTATCCATCCGCTTTTGTACCAGTACCAGGCTGTTTTGATTATAATTGCCTTGTAATATGTCTTGTAATCTGGTATTATGATGCCTCTGGCTTTGTGTTTGTTGTACAAGATTGCTTTAGCTATTTGCAGTCTCGTGTGCCTCAATATAAATTTCAGCATCATTTTTTTCTAGATCTGAAAAGAATGTCATTGGTATTTTGATTGGTATCACACTGAATCTTAAATTGCTTTTGGATGAATGAACATTTTGATGATATTGATTCTTCCAATCCATAAGCCTGGAAGATTTTTCCATTATTTTGTATCTTCTATTACTTTCTTTAATGTTTTGTGATCCTCATAAGAGATTTTTGACATCCTTGGTTAAATTTATTATAATGTATTTGATTTATTTTTGTAGCTATTGTGAGTGGGATTGATCTTAGAAGCCTTGGCATTGTCTGTGTATACAAAGGCTGTTGTTTTTTGTTATTGATTTTTATATCCTGTACCTTACCAAACTCTTCTTTGAATTCCAATACTCTATTGGTGGAGTGTTCTCAATATTTAATTCTGTAGAATCATTGGTGTGGAGAGAAAAAGTTTTATGAGCAAGAAATTTGTGCATGATAAGCAACAAAGAGTAGAATACATAGACTTCTATCTTAATCAGTGAGAGATGTGAAAGAATGGAGATGGAGGTTTTGACATAATTGAGATATAATATTCTTGGCCCTAGCATCTAAAAGAATAGGATTTTATAATCAAATACTGGACAATTAGAGACTCAGACTTTGGCAACTGAGCACTTTCAGCAATCATAATTCAGAGAATGGAAGAGAATGTACTGTTACAGTGCATCATGTTTAAAGATGGAATACTACATTTCCTTGAAACACTTTTGAAAATCACTACATTAGATGGCTTTATTTCTGAGGGATTGCCTCTGACCACAGTGATTTTTTGTGAAAACCTAGACAGGTGTCATTTTACATTCTGACAATAAAGAATAATTCAACAAATGAGTTTTGATGTTCTCGCTTTGCATGGGAAATGCGCATGTTTGAGTGTTTTCTGTTTTCACATAAAAGTAGATATTTTAAAAATTCTTAGCAAAATTTTCTTAGACAAATTCTTCATATAAAAGAATTTGGGTATAGAATTTTCCTAGGCTTCTCTATTAGCTCCTGAAGAGATTTCGTTTTGGCAAGTAGTACTTTCTGAATTCAAATTCTATAACTGCAGAAACTATCACAGCTGAGGAAAAGAATAGACAAATCAGAAATCCATTCAGCTCATCAAGCCTTTCATTATCACCTAATATGAAAGCCAACTTTCTCCAAGATAGCATCTAATTGCTTTCAAATGGCCACAGCATCCACATCAGAAACCTTACTTTGCAGCCCTTTTCTAACATTCATATGTCTCTGAATGGACATGTTCAGAATTTGATTCCCAATTTAATGGGCTTATGTTGGCTTGTTTTGTTCTCCAGTTTTTAAACAGTCATTTCTTACTCCTTACAGTATGATTTTCTTCCTTTTCTTTTTTCTTAAGATACTCCTAAAAACAATCACTCCTGATACTTGAAATAAAATTCAAGGAACATTTTCATATCATGGAAAAAGTCATCAAAATCTAAGTCTAGCCCTATGTAAATTATTGATCTCTATTAGGTACTTTCAGAAATTAGAATATGCATCAGTACCTCATGCCTGTGAGAGAAAACCATGTAGCATGAGCAAACATTATAGATCATTGGTCCTTATGCATAGAGTAGACCCAACACTAGGCATTTTATTAGCGAGTTAATGACTTTACAAAGTGTCCTGCTACCAAATGTTTTCATATATTTTCAAGATCTAAAATAATTTTTAAAAGATTTATTTCAACTATTTGAAAAGGAGAGGGGGAGAAACAGATTGATTGTTTATAATCCTTGTCTATATTCTGGAGAAATTCTTTATTTGTTGAATTCTTTATTTGGTTGATGGTTAAACTTGTGATTATAAAATAAACTGCAAGTATGCCATTGTAAAAATTAAAAAGTAAAAATAATAAAGAGGAGTAGGGAAGGTGGAAGAGGGGGTGAGAGGGAAGATAGGTTGTAAAGTATCATTATGCTCTTAAATCTGTATATATTAAATACATGAAATTTTTCACATTATATAAATTAAACAATTAAATTTCCATCAGCTGGTTCAAAGCCTAAATGGCCACAATGGTCACAGTTGTGCAAGGCCAAAGCCAGGATCCAGGAGCTACTTCCTCATCTCCCACGTGGATGAAAGGGATCCAAGCACTTAAACCATCTTGCACCACCCTCTTAGGCACGTTAGTTAGTAGGGAGCTAGACTGGAAGCAAAGCAACCAGGAGTCACTGTGCTGATGTCATAGGTGGCACCTTAGCTTGCTGTAACACAACCCTGGCTCCTTAAAGAATTTGTGAAGTATTAGAATTCTGTGTACTCGAATTCTTATATATTTAGCCAATAGTACTACAAGCTATTCAAATATTTAACTTAAAAATTGAGAATATTATTTTCAATCTTGTTTTTATTCTACAATTTTTTTCCTTGATGGTTTTCTTTCAATAAACATTGTTTATAGTTGTAATAAAACTTAAAGCTTAAAAGCAGAGCTAAGGAGAAATTTATTTTAGAAATTGTACTCTCCACCAGCCTATATTTATCTGATACTTAATTTGACCTACTATTGCAAATAATTTCACCTTACTTTCTGTTAAAACTCAGAAAAAAACAGTTCTCACAGGCACTGCATGACCACATGTTCTGATGAAAAGCTACATTTTTAGCTTTTTCCTTCTGTTTGGAGCATCTTGCATCTTAATATTTGTCATATGATCCATTTCCCTAACACTTAGTTGTGAATTTGCTTTTGTAAGAGAAATCTTTCTACAGAAGTGATTCATAAGAAATGTATTTTCTTTTTTTTTTTTTTTTAAAGAAATGTATTTTCAAGAAATAGGTTAAAGAAAAGCCAGAGTAAAAAACAACTGAGCCAATTAGGACTCATTGCAAGGTAAGGTTGGCTTAGGCTAGGGCCTTGTTGATTGAAAAAGGGAAAAATGAATATATCTGAGACATACTTTAAAAGTTGACAATATAGGATTGAGAGAATGCATAGAGCTTATGAGAGAAAGTCAAGATTGGTTCCACATTTTTAGTTTGATTACGTTTATGGATGGTGATATTTATTGAAGTGTGTAGAAATTCATTGGTGCTTAAAATGTATTTTATAGGCATAATTTGAATGAGATTAATTTTAGTCATCCTAATGGAGCAGAAAGTAAGTGTTGTAAGTTTGGAATTAGCAAAGAGATCTGAGTTTCACATATAAATGGGCAATCTGCAGATAGTTTTTTTAAACTGGGAGATCTGTGTGTGTAAGACAACAGCTGGAAAAGAGATATCCCCCAGAACTGAAAACTTTTTGATGCATAGAATTTGGAGTAGGCCTAGATAATTCCAGCAGAAGAAGCTGTGACATTGATAAGAGGGTAAGAGAGAGAATAGTGAAATATAGAGTCAAAGTATTTTTTTAAAGGCAAACATTGTAATGAGTCATAAAGGTCAAGGATGATCAGGATAGAGTGCAGTTTGGATGTGGCAATGTGTCCAGCAGATGGTCACTCTGGGTGGTACTCTTAATTCAGTGTTAGAGTTTATGGTTTCATATTTGTATTTCTGGGTTTCTAAAACTTCATATTCATTGTCACTAATTACTTTTTAATGGTTTGTGAAAGAAACAATTTGTATAGATATTCATCCAAAATATACTCAAGTGTATTTTTTATCTCTTAACATTTTAATTCAGACATCAGAAGATTAGACTGAAATTGTTTTGATTACCAGAATAATTTTGCTGAATTTCAACTTTATATTTGACATTTGATCTGCATAAGAAAATATTAAATGCAATGAATTAGAGTGAATATTCTATGCTTTATGAAAATTCAATGCATTTCTTAAAATTTCAGTGGATTTCAAAATACTTATAATTTCTTGGTTTAGTCTAGCTTCAGGATGTTTCCTATTGGCTTTCATCTCACTTTTTAAAGTGATGTTCTTAAGGAATAACAGACAAACTACCAAAGTCAGTCAAACCTCAGGGGTTATATAAGTATGTTCCTGGGTGTGATATTGATATAAGGGAGACCTTTGGGTAGATAGCATAGAATGTCTTGATGGATTGATAGAAGATAAAGACATGAGGGACTCAGGATACTGAGTACTGGTATTTGGAAAGGTAGAGTGGTGTGCTAGCAAATAAAGCATGATGCCTTGATAATCTGCCTGTGGATGATGTGTGCAACTTCAGACAAGTGAAAGAAATCTGACAGTAAGAATATATATACCACAGGAGTTAAAGCTTAGGACTTTAGAATTGTGCAGGCTACTTTCCAGTAAGTCAATTAAAAGACCTTGAGCAAGCTATCTAGCTTCTGTAGTCTCACTTATCTCATCCATATATTGATGTTAATACTACATCTATATAAAATTCTGATAGATTAAATGAGAAAATATGTCAATAATTCAGTAGGAATTTCTAATACAACTAATGTTTTTCTCTTATCACCAAACACAGGGAAGTCTAAGGTTCAGACTGCAAAGATACAAGGCAGTTGCAAACCTAGGTGATGAGGTAGGGATTTGATTATGCAGACCCCTGTGGTTGAAGGTGGTTTTACAAATCTAAACATTACAAGACTGTCCAATCCAGCCTTTCTTCCATTTGAGAACTATGACTTAGTTCCTAAAATTTAAGAGTTTAATGAGATGGCAAAGTTTTGTTGAACATGATGCTTGCTTTGAAGCAATGTTACAGAGGCATGTGAGTTACAGGGTATCTGTGTTCAGTATATCTCAAACTACAATTCAAGGAGCCGTTCCGTACATTTCTTCTATGTGGTTCTGCATGTATAATACTCTGCCTGGTCTGTTTAAGGTGATGTCAGAGCTGACACAGAATTTCCTTATGAAATTAATCCTTGGTTTTTCCTGTTCTTTTTCTTACCATTGAAAAGATGATAAGAGAATGTAGCAGGGAAATACTAATTTTAGGAAGGGCTAATGAGATGACAAATGCAATATTTTAAGAAATTTAAGATAGTACAAGAATGTAGAGATGAATGTTATTAGAGAATAAAGCAAGAAATTCTGAAATCTGTTATTCTGTTTTGTCAACATCTTATTCTTGAACAAAATACAGTCTAAGAACCATAGGAATTAAACACACACAGTATAGTGAAAACTTTGCATTGTGGAAATATTGCCCATTTATCTCCCTTAGTTCCAGTACAATGACTCTCCTGGTAGCTGTCATACATGATAAACATGGTTTAGTTAGCAAAATTATATTTTATGTAATTGCATGCTTTAAACCAGAGATCAATAACTAACTTACAAATATACAGTAACTAAGATCAATGGATAATGAATACTTCCACATTCATTTAAATAGATATATCCTCTATCTTCTTCTGACAAGTGATAATCAGATTATAAATTGTGGTGTAATTTCATAAACACTTAATTTATAGGAATTCACTGAGATGTACTCAGCTGAAGAAATAATAAGAGGGAAAAGATAACAATAGATAACAATTTAACGCTTTCTCTCTCTCTTTCTCTGTATGTGTGTGTCTGTGTTTGTGTGCATTTTGTGAGTAGCAGGTGACTTTTTATGTGCATTTCTATGTGTTTAGATTCTTAGGTATGGTTTTAGTAGAGTCTCACTCATATTACTTACAACTGCCATATGTCCATTTTAATATTAGCCTTCAAATAAATGAAGATTGGTTTGAATAAAAACCCACTAATGAAAACTTTAATTATAGTCACAGCTGACAGCTGTTTCTAAATGTAGTGTGTTAAGGTTCCCTGGAGGACAATGCTCTTTGCACTGTGTATCCTGAGTTGAGCAGAGTTCACACATGCCTAACCCTTCCTTATGTCTATAGGGAGGCTGTGTGTTTAAGGACTTCTGGTAGAGAATAACTCCTCTGAGTAGGAGGCCACGCTCTGGAAAAGATCATCTGCAATAGTTTGCCTGACCCATACTTCTGTTGTTTTCTCTTTAGTATTATTTTGATTCATAAAATAACCATAATTTGTCATTGTTTATGAAAAATAACTCTAACTGGAATATGTGAAGTCTATTAAAATAATGCACCTAAAAACTAGTTTGGGCCAACTGATGTAATTGGATTTTACTGATCCAGCTAAGTGAGGATATAATGTAAGCTAATAAAAATAAAGGCTGACTAGCTTTATGATGGCATATGGCAGGTCATTTTTATTGTTTTGGGGGCAAAAGGATGTTTTATACAGAATGTATGAAAATAAAATAAAATCTGTTCCTCAAAATAGGAATTAGATTTGAAATCCCTAGTTAAAACAACTTAAATCCATAAAATATTGTACCACGTTCAAAGCCTAAAAACCTGTTTTAGGCTTCATAGTCCCATATTTTTTCTGATTAATGTGTTGTATACTTAATATTTTCATAATGCCAAATAGTATCAATTAAATTTTCAATCCCATGTAAAGCTCCAGGAAAATTTGATATATTCAGAAATGAAGCTGGGAAGACAGTTATGGGTGGGGTTGATGAACTGAGAACGCTGAACTCAGTAGGTTGGTTGTGTCAGAGCGGTGTATCAATGAATGAGCATTAAAACGGAACTGTTGAGGACTGGACAGTCGCTGAGCCAGACTAAAATCTGCTGCTTGGAAAATAAGTATGAGGTTTCTTGTTGATGGTTCAGGCCTTAGATCAAAGCATTCATCTTTATTCATTTCTTCTTGTTCTGCTCTACCAACTGATTGTTCCTTCTCCTACAAGAGATAAAGAAATTAGTCTTAGTCTTTCTACAATACAAATAAAGATCCAGTTCCTCCTTCCCATGTGTTTCATAGCTTCATGATTCTATACAAACCCAGCATTCACACTAGAGTATTTCATTATTTTGTGACGTATTTGTCCATTACTCCAGAGTGTGACTTTATGATATTCACTGAATGTCACATCAGAAGGCTCAGTGGATATAAATTTATGGTTTTATGTTATTATTCTTGAATTTGGGGATATTAGATATTCTCAGTGCAGAATATCAGTGTAGTATATATGTATTATTACTGTAGATATTAGGAATATATATACAACACAGACCTGCAAAAATCATTGAATTATATTTCCTATTAACTCAAAAGCAGTTGAAAAGATAATAGTGTTAAGTCAACTTCATAGTTGTTTATGAATTAACTACTTTTTTTTTGCTTTTAATCTGGAATATATTCAGTCTTTCAATGGCTAATTAACATTTTAAAAAATGTTATTATCTTAATCATGTCAGTGACTGAATTTTTATGAGGCAATATGACAATTGGGAAATATAAATATCTTTGAAAATTCTAGATAATAATTGTCACCTATAAAAACACACTAATAATCATTTATTTTCCAAAAAGGAAAGAATATCATTAGTTCCTATCCATGTATCTTAGCGCTTAAACGTTCACAAAGAAAATTGACTATTAAATGAATAGACCAGAGCTGGAGTGGAGTATATCTGATTTGTCCAGCATTGTATTTTGTCAATATTTAAGATTTAATAGAGATGGTTAATAGATCATCTTAATGAAATTTTCCTCCATTTTTTCAGTGAAATAGTACTTTTTTAAAAAAAATTTAAAGGCAGTGTTAGAGAAGAGACAGACACACCCACACACTCACAGAGAGAGAGAGAGAGAGAGAAAGCGAGAGAGAAAAAGATCATCATTCTACCAGTTTACTCACCAAACGACCAGGATGAAGCCAGGGGTCCAGAACTTCACCCCTGTCTCCACATGAGTGGCAGAGGCCCACATATTTGGGCCATCTTCTGCTCCCCGTTTGCCAGGAGGTAGATTGGAAGTGGGACTCAAACTGCCCATCATGAATGATGCCACATTGCTGGCCCCAAAGTAGTAAGTAATTTTTATAAGTCTTAAGGAATGACTTTATGAAACAATAGAAATTTAGAAATATACTGAGGAATTTTTATCAATTAAGATAGAAAATTTGCACATACAGAAGTGAAAGGTAAACAATTAGTATCTCATGGTTATAACTGATCATAATATCTTAAGTTTTTCTACTTTGTCATTCTTAGTATATGGCTAGTTTCCTCATGGTCAAAAATAGTTTCAGGAGCCCCTGCAGATAATATTACATCAATATACCATGTAACAGGATGGTAGAAGGTGAGAGGGAGTAAATACAAAGTCGATCCATCTAAAGGAGCCATTTTTGTTTAAGCAATCCTTGCTGAATTTTCACACTTCAGTTCTACTTTTATCCAATTGGCAAGAAAACAGTTATATGGTCAAAAAAACTGTATGGAGAGCTGCTCAATAAAGCTGCAGAATAAATGAAATTATCTTACCAATAATAGAGGTATGGGTGACCAGCAATCTCTACCACTGAGTCTTATCACAGATAATTAAATTACATAAATTTCCATAGATTTATAGACAGAAGATTTCTTATCCTTTATTTATTACCTGCCATTATAACTGTTTAAGCTTCAAAATGATTTATGAGATGGGAAATTCTAAAATCATCTATTAATAATTAACATAAGTTTATATAATTTAATCATTACTAATTTATATCCCTTTGTGCATAAATGCATATCTGTCTACATAATATTTGCATTCAATAAATCAAAGTAGTAAAGCAAACTAGGGTATTTAGAAAACTAAGGTATAGAAATCCTTCTTGGTGTCCAAGGGGGATTCATTCTAGGATACTTCATGTACACCAGAAATCTGTGGATACCCAAGTGTCTGTGGCACCATATAGATTTTATATATTATACTGCATTATTTAGGGAACAATTCAAAGACAAAATGTATGCGCTCAGCACAGATGCAGTTTTATTCTTCAAATTATTGCAAACCATGGATGCAGAACCCATGACTAGAGGGCCGACTGCAAGTAAGAAGGATACTGTAGGGATGTAAAAATATCTTAAAGAAAAAAATCGAGAGATACTGCATTACTGCCATTTTTTTTGTGGGATAAGAATGAGTTGTTCTATGTAACTCAAAATGTAAAACAGTAACCATTGAGTACAAGCATTAATTTATTTACTTACTAATACACTTAATTAGCACTTGATATTTGTTAGGTAGTGGTTTTGTGTGTGTGTGTGTGAATGTGCAAGTGTTATAGCTCTATAAACAAGAATAGACAAGTTGCAGCATACATAGCCCCTATATTCTATTCCAGAAAATGTAGGTGGATATTAAAAAAAAAGTTAGCCAACAAGGCAATTTCATAAATGCTACAATTAAAGAGAGATAGGGCTTTGATAGTGAATCATGGAGGAGAAAGTGAGCTACTGACGGAGGAGTCGGGAAATCTCTGATATTAGGACACATGGGCTGAGTCTAAATGTGTCCTTTTTATTGCTAAAGCATGCTATCTACCTATTTATCTACACCCTACTGTAGGTTACTATCATCCATCAAAAGAATACAATGGTAGAATGATCTTAAGAAAGCATGTGTCAGGTTGTATTCCTTCCCTGTTTAAGATTCCCTAATGTTTCTATTCTAGAATTAGAATAAACTGTTTGTTAGGAATACCTATAAGACCATTTTTAATGATTTCTGCAAGACTTCTAATGATCGCACACTAAAATCCACTCTTCTCATTATTCTTGAGCTACAGAAGCCTTCTTTATATTTTTAGACATACATCCAGCTCATTCTTATCTTGAGGTATCTCTATCTTCTTTAGTCTGAAATGCTACGTACACATCAGTAATGAAATCACTTAATAACTTCATTTGTGCATTTGTTTGTCTCCCTCCTGGATTAAAATATAAATCTCTTATTAAAGAGAAGGAAAATAACTGTTAACAAATTTCTATTTCCAAGAATGTTGCTTGCATATAGTAAGTATTCAAGAATACTTTTGATGGATTGAGTTTCTTCTTTTTTTTAAAGATCTATTTATTTTAAAAAACAGTAATGCAGTATCTCTCGATTTTTCTCTTCTTTAAGATATTTTACGTCCCTACATTATCCTTCTTACATTAAAGACAGAGTTCCAAATTGTACATCTCACTTTTCAGTTAAATTTAAACACTTAAGAATAATTGTGTGTTAATTACATAGTTCAAGGAATAGTATTAAGTAGGACAAAAAATACTAAAAGGGATAAAGTATTAAGTTGTTCATCCACAGTCAGGACAAGGGCCGATCAAGTCACTGTTTCTCATAGTGTCCATTTCACTTCAACAGGTTTCCCCTTTGGTGCTCAGTTAGTTGTCACTGATCAGGGAGAACATACGATATTTATCCCTTTGGGACTGGCTTATTTCACTCAGCATGATGTGTTCCAGATTCCTCCATTTTGTTGCAAATGAAAAGATTTCATTGTTTTTGACTGCTGTATAGTATTCTATAGAGTACATGTCCCATAATTAATTTCTTTTTTTATATATATTTTTGACAGGCAGAGTGGACAGTGAGAGAGAGACAGAGAGA